TATATGTAAAAAATATTATTTACAGAGTTCAGACAGATTAAATGAACCTGTTCAAAATTGTAATGTGGCTGCCGACATACAAACAGTAGTATCCCTCAAAGGCACAGGCCAACCACCTTCAGAGCAGCTCCTGCCAGATTTTTATGCAGAACACGTTACTTTGGGGATGAACAGAGACAGACGTAAACAGGTAAGATGAAAAAGTTCAATCATTAACAGAAAATATCCAACAGATGATTAAATAAAACTCTTCACTTTCTAGGCATTAGTTAAAGTTCTCCAATTAGTCAAACAAGACTTGGAGCGTGAGCGACGCAGTAAACAAGGTGTTGAAAATCTAGCTAGGGCACTGCAGCAAACACCCAACTTTGGGGCTGAGGACTCACAGCAAAATGTCACGGAAAAACTGCATCATGTAAGTGTTGCTACTCCTGCACCAGAAATACTGAAATTTACTTGGAAATTAACCAAATATAATAATTTATATTTCAGATGAGAGCTATGCTAACTTACTTGGAAGCAGCCAGATATAAGGTTCAAAGTGTACTATCTGAGCTGGAGGGAAGGCCAAACCAATCACATCCATTGTCTTCACATATTATAGTTCATCGAGATAGACAGGGTCTACAACAAAGCATATTAAAGGCAAGCACAAACATTTAAAAACAAAAATTACACCATCAAGCGTACCTTAACAGAAAATGTTACTAAACCACAACATTTTCAGGTCCCACCTTGGGTGCGTAAGGATTCACTAGACCAGATGAATGGCGAGTCTCCTGATTGGATGGATAGGGGAGCAGCAGATGGCAACTCAGTGCAACCAGACAGTGACTTTGGTCAGTAAACCTCTGCACTATAGCATAGCAGAAAATTTTACATAAAATTCCACAACCTCACAATGAGTTTCTTCATTACAGATGAATTTTCAAGCCAAGGTAGTGAGAAGGATTACAATGGTAGTTTAATAATATCTGAATGTGCAAGCACAACTCAGGCAGGGAACAACCCAAGTGGTGGCACCTGTCGAGCTCTTTACCAATATGCAGCAAATCTGTATGACGAATTAAACCTAAATCCAGGTATAAATTTTATTACTAAAAACTACTAGTTCCTCTGAAATATCAGCTACATAGTAAAATTGCATCAATGTTTTTATAATTTTTTGCAGGTGATGTAATAAATATTCATGATAAACAAGACGACGGATGGTGGCTGGGAGAGCTAAATGGCACAGTAGGAATCTTCCCAGCAACATATGTGGAAGAAATTAAGTAGTTCTCAAAACAACCATCATTCAAGAAATAGCAGCAGACATGATTTTATGACTGGGACAGAATTTAGCAGCATGTTAGCAAGAAGCATAACACACATCTTTCTTAAGCTCCTGCATCTAAGATTTCTTGTTAATGAAATATCTCCTGCAATTCTTAATGTAATTGAGAATGTAGTTTTGACTAAATGTTTGAAACTGGTAATTCCAGAATAATTCATTGTTAAGAAATTAGAGATATATAACTCATAAGAGGTGCACACCATCAGCAGATTGAACTTACTGTTTTGGCATTAGGACCAGACATCAGTTAGACCTGTATTTACTAAAGATTTTTTTTTTTTCATTCCCTTAGTGGACTCAGTTATAAGCTTAGCCCAAGGAAAGTAAATAGTACATACTCTTTGTAAATATTAATTTAAGTGTTCCTGTAAATATTTAGATAAGAAATAACATAAGCACCTTATTTGGTTTGATCATTAATTTCCTGAGGCCCTTCTCTGTAAGTTAATTGCTTCAGAGTGACAATTGTCCCACTTTCTTCACCAGTAAGCTTCTACCAGTGTAGCAGTCTCAATTTAGGAGAACTGATCGTCTTTGCTACAAAAAGACACAAAAATTGCGGCGAAGGGCAAGAAAAACCAAACAAACAATAAAAATAAAATTGAAAGTACATGTTATATTTGAACAGAAGAATTTAACATGGAAATGATACTATATAAAATTGATAAATACATTGCTGCCTAGAACAAATTCACAACCATACAAACATTAATCGGCCAATTTACTCAAAAAGGCCTTGTTCTACAAATAACAAATAAGGCAAAAAAAAAAAGCAATAAAATACTTGGGCAAAAGGAAAATGTACGTACTACTAATGTCTCCAGCGAGACAAAAACAAAATCTATGGGAGATCACAGTTTACACTTACATCTAGTACAGCATTAAACCTTAAACTTATTACTCAGTAATAGTTAATTACAAAGTATAAAACTTTGTTGACTTCCTATAAAGAAAAACTTTGGCAAATCTGTCTTTCAAAAAAAGCATCAATGACAGCCAAAATAGGAAAAAGATTATTCAGGATATAAGTATCACATGATCTTGAACCAAACAAGGAAAGGATAATATATCTCTCAAAAATAGGAGCCAAAATTCACTTGTCTAAAGTATAACAGCTTCAGACTGAAATAGGCTGTACTAAATTAAAAATTGCCATAAATAGATAAAAGTATGTAGAAAATAGATCAGTACGTTTTCAATTTGAAATAACATAATACATAATTCACTAACCGGTGTATATATTATCGTATAGTTCATACATTTCTTCAGTCTCTTGAAATTGCTGTAACTCTTCCTCTGTGATATCACAGTGATTATCATAGGAGTCTCCCAAATGGTTGTAAAATTTATTGAATGCCAATACCTCCTTACTCGCTTGTTTTAAAACATATATGGCATCCTGTTTGTCCTTTGAAATTTTTTGCAATATCCCATCATATTTACTATTCAATTCTTGAATTTGCTAAAAAGAAATATTTTAAAAACACAATGAGAATATTTGCTTTAAGAACTTGGCCTAAAAACTGAGTATAATTCTTTGATACTAACCATGTCTTGCTCCATTAAGATTGCATTCATTTGTCTTTCAACAATGTATCCTGGGGCTGGGGCAGATGAATATATAAACTTTTGATGCTCCAACTGTTGTTGAATGCTTAACTGCTGAAGTTCTTGATCATGTTCTGCCTTAAGCTGCATGAACTGATTATTTATTTGGCTATTCAAGTCATTAATTCGAGACTCAAACATTACAGTGCAAGATAGCATTCTTCTTCTCTTGCAAGCGCTCTCCTCATTATCATCTGCCGATCTTGTCCTCTTACGAGCCTGTCTGACTTGTAAGTTACCAGTTTTTGTTCCCCTTGAAGACTGAAAAATAACAGAAGCTGGAATTTAGTAACACTTCAAAATCCCACCACTTTTCATAATACTTTGAATTGTACAAAGAGTTATATCAAACCTGAGCAGAGCGATTTCTCCTATAGTTGTGACATGTGAGATCACGTCTGGGATCGGGAATTTCAAGTTGACGCCACTGTTCTCTCACAACTCTATACCGCTCCTCATCTGTCTCCAACTTTCTCAGCAAGTCCCACTCAGGATCATTATTGTCAGCGTTTTCGGCATCATCTGTGCTCACCCAAGGTATTTGCCAGTTTTGACTGGAATCAGATGGAGATTAATAGTAGGTGATAAGATAGGGCAAAATACACAGAATTAGAAATACTTACAGGTCTTGAGGGGGGCTAGTACTGGATGGATCAGAGTTGCTATTACCAGCATTGCTAGAAACACAATCTAAGTTTTCCACATCAGGTTTTGACACACTATCAATTTCTTTCAATGTGGAATCAGAGAGGAAAGGTAGAACAGTCTCAGCTTGGCAAGGAGAATTAGGTTTTTCTGGTGAATGAGTTGAGTTAATTTCAACACTTCTACCCTGAGACTCATTATCAGAGGGTGAAAGTAATGTGGATGATTCTTTAACTAATTCTTCAACAATTGTTGCAGGTGGAGGGGATGGGAGGGGTACAGGTTGATCGTATTCTGCAGATTCACCCACTTCATAAGGTTCTATGTCTAATTTGTCATAAAATGACAAAGACAAAGTGTTGGTACCAATGTCTTCAGACACATCACCATTCAATGGCACTGAAATTTCAGGCTCTGCAAGTGCACTGCTCTTCATTAAAAGTGCTTCAATGACATCACTAACTTCATCTGGAGTCACTTCATAGCTGACTGGCTCTGCGAGTGCTATGATATTGCATGGCGATGTTTCAGTGACGGAATCACGTGTTTGAATACGAGTTTCACTTGAATCAGATCCAGCCAACAGAAGTTCCTCAGTTTTTGGAGAAGGCGAATCAATGGAAGTAAACTCTGAGCAATATCCTAGAGTATTGCAGTTTTCATCTAATAAAGAATCTTTTATGCAATCTTCTTTAAATTTCAAAGAAAACTTTTCATTTACTTGATTAGAATCTTTGTAAAGTGTCTCAAACTTAGATTCTGGCAGGAGAGGTTTATCAAATGTGCCTTTGTTGTAATTTTCCAATGGACACAATCTATCAGTTTCAAGAACTAATGAATTTGTTGAAAGATCAGAGGGAGGTTCAGGATTTATATAGTCAAGATATGAAGCTGAAACATTTTTGACTCCCAAACTTAATAAGTCAGATTTAGTAGGTTGTAACAGAGAAGGAGCTATGGGACTTGGTACTCTGGGACTATCTTTGTATATAGTATTAGAAACTGGTGAACCCAAGCTATCAAATGTATTAGAAAGTCCAAGAGAGACCATAGAGTCTGCTTCTTCCTCATCGTCGCTAAAAATGTCAATAACTGGGATCACAGTCTTGTCTTTGATTTCATTACAGTTAATATCTAAAATTGGATGAGTAGTAGGAGAATTCTTAGCTTCGGACTTTTCACTTTCAGCCATCAACTGAATAAATTCTTGAAATTCCTCCTCATTACCAATAAGTTCCTCCATTTCTATAATAGTCGTCTCAAAACACAAAGAAGAATTATCCCCATCTTCACTGCAAATAAAGTCTCTATCTTGAGTATGAATGTGATCTACTGAGTCCCCATCGTCACTGGCAGAATTTGAGCTGTTATTATGGTTGTCACGCTGCTGGCAAACCTCTTCCAGTAAACTAGTGAGAGACTGGGTGCTTTCAGGGTGCTCCACAACAGAGGTATCCATTTTGAAAACAAACAAAAATGTGCCAATCCAGAAAACATCAATTGTTTATGAACATCTGAAACAAAGAGATCAAGCACTTACTCAAATGAAAAGTGCATTGAGGTATGAAAGGAGAAAAGATGTTCAGAAATTCATTTTCATAACGTTTGATAAAATGCCAGTAAGCTCAGGGCTCATGATCTATTCAACAGCCCGTGTTCAACAATCCAAGATCCTCCAATTTCTTAATCAATAGATAGTTGAATCACTGTGAACGTTACCCAGAAAATGTCCCGCTGAGCCAGCTGCTCTCAAGAGTACTTACTGGGGTCTTTACAGCAAGGCTACAGGCGGCTGGACGAAGGGCAGCCGTAGCCCATCACTTGGCCTCCTCTCGGCCCAGGTCCACTGCAGCGCACTCACTCACACTCACACACAAAGTCATTGGGGCCAAACGGGGTACGAATGGCAGGCCCTCACAATCGCCTCGAGTTGTGATGGTGCCACCGACACTTTAAAACGCCGTACCGACTAGAACAGCACGGTAGCAAGGGCTCGGCACGACCGGGCCTCTGGTGGGCTGGGAGCTCCAGCCAGCCGAAGATCACGGCCAAAATCACCAAAATGGCAAGGGCGGCGGCAGCACCACCACAACACCAGAAGCCACACCACCTCCGCGACGTATTCGGGCGTCACAGTCTATGCTCCAGGACGAGGACACGGTCTTATTCCTGTTTCGATCTCATCCCGAGGGTTCGCACTTGCTGCGGACAGCGCGAGGGCGGCACAGGGGGTTGGGGAGCTGGTGCAGGACTCAGCGCGCTTGACGACAACAACACTCAACAGTGCGGTGTGGAAGGGGAGGGGGCGGAGCGGGCGGAGGCGGCCGGCCGGAGGGCGAGCGGGCGAGCGGGCGGAGGGGAGGGGGAGAGCAAACAATAGAGTGCAGCGCTGCAGGCGCGCAGCCGCCCGCCCGCCCGCCGACAGGTGCTGCCCATGTGCGGCGAGCAGCGCAACCACGAATAGGGAAGTCCAAACGGGTGCGGGTCCAGGGTGCTCGGCTTGGGGGGTGAAACGAGGCGGCGAGCAGTTTTGGGAGGTTCGACCCGATACCGTCCAGTGGTTTACCGAGGCACCTTCTCGCCATTTAAACGGAAATGCCAAGAGCGACCCAACACTTTTACACCGCCTACTTTTACAAAAAGGGTGTCCCCGATTTCGTACCGGTGGGTACGGGTCGCATCTATAACGCCCGCCGCAACGTCGATGACACGAAGCAAACCGCAACAAAAAAGGATAGGCTTCTCAAAAAATGGTTTCTCTTGAAGGAGGCTGCGGGGAGGGGGGGGGGGCACGTGCGACTTTGATCCGTGTTCGGAGACAATCTACGTGTCCCAAGCCGAGAGTGAATGGGTATCGCCCGCACTACCGTCGTGACTGCGGAGTGAAATAGTGGAGAAACCGAAAACGTCTTCCGGACGGGGGGGGGGCTGAGATCAGCGTGACAGGAAGAAAAGACTTGTTTTGAGGTTGGGGTTAATTTCCCTGCATAACGGGAATAGCACTTTCGGTGCATCTAGCGATGGTTAGTGCAGGAGCGGCTGCTGGGCCGGCCGTACGTATGTCGCCGTATGTCGTCGCTGGTGCGCTACTGTCGGCGCGAACGTCAGCGCTTGGAAATGCCCATAGACCGCCCAGACTTGACTTCTAACAACCCCTGAACAAGTTTTGGCTCATAGTTTTGGTGCAACGTGGGTAAATGGTGTAGGCGAAGACGGGAGGGGAGGGTCAACGGTAACACTGCCATTGCTAAGCTGCCAAGCAGGCTGCAGCTTGCTCACTCGCCCCGCCTGTCCACTTCCAGGTACTAGGGTATCACCTTCTCTCTCCCCCGCACCATACATATGGCCCCTCCGCTCCCTCGGCCTAGTTCTTAGTTAGAGATAGAAGGGCAGCCTCCCCCTCCTCCCTCCCCTCCTCCCCCGCCTCCCCGCTCTGGCCGCTGTGCTGCTAATGAAACAATAGGGCGGCGGCCGGGGACTTTATTGGAGGTGGGGATTAGGAGGCTGGCCGGGCTGCCCACAGGTGGACGGGGTGGACCGGGGAGGGTCAACGGGCTGGTCGAGCAATGGCCGCAGTACCGGGTGCCTGAATCACCTGCTAATCCCCGACGCGACACGGCTATAGGGGGTGTCTGGCGAGGAGGCTGCATCGATGGAAACAATGACAGGACGACGAGGAGGGGTCGGCCGAGGCCCGTTAGGTCCAGCTGACGCACCAGGACATTCTCGGACCGTGGGACCGGGGCCCGCAGGATAGGATGTTCGCGAAAGTGCATCGCGTTGGATCGGTCAAGAGCAAGGATGTGACGAAAAGAGGGGGGGGGGCAAGGTTCGGGGAAAGGCAAGGGTAACAGGGGAACTGAAGTACGTACCTCGGTACTCGTCGGTACTACTACAGGCAGGGGCACACAGCGAAGCCGAGGAGATGAACGCGAGTGAATAAGGGTGGTCTTGTAGTGAACGATTCAGATTCAGAACGATTGAGACGACAAGACTCATTTGCCCGTCGGCTCAGCAATGAGCGCTGGTGTCCTCGGACTCCGCGCGACCTCGCGGCACCGTCAGGCTCGGCAGGCCAGTGCGTCGACCAGTCAGCAGTCAGTCGGCCTCGTCCACGACCGCGGT